GTCGAGAAAATTACACTCTGAGCTAATATACCATAGCGTTTCTCTCTTAAACGCACACCGGGCGAGAAGGAACTGTTAATAATTCTAATCGGACATGCCTATGTGTAACGCGACGGCTCCATAATTGCTCCATTATAGAACGGCGGAGATAATTGGTCCCCGACGATATCCCGCGTACACGGACTTTTGGCATGCGATGAGGCATGGCGCCGCCATGTAATTCACCGTGAGTCTCGGGATCGAAAGAGGCGGAGGTTCGATCCTCGCGCAGCTTCGAGAGGAGTTCTCGTCGCAAGCAAGATAGGAAGAGCAATCTATACGTCATTCCGCAGGCCGGGGCGGGCCCAGCGACGGCGACGTCGGCGACGGCATGGCATCGCGACGCGTCTCGACGCTCCCTTACTCGCAAGGATGTTTCGTATTAACGACGCACGCCCGGCCAAGAGCGATAGGACGTAAGCCGTGAAATATTGAAATGGGATTTTTCAGTTCACGAAAAGAACGAGAGAAGGTTGACTAAGTCCTCTCTCTCTCTCTCTCTCTCTCTCTCTTCGCGCGACAACATTATCGATAGCGACAACGACTGTGTCGTCGGCACGTACACGGAAAATGGGAATATAATGCGAACTGAGAGCTCGTCGATCGCGTGACGTAATTGGGATTTTCCCGAGATATTATGTATAAGGTACATATCAATAGTTGTATCAATCTCGTTCCAGTTTAACAATCTTATTATTTAATCAACTGATGGCCTTTATTTGACACAATCTTCTCTTTTCATCAAACATTATATCCATAAAATAAAAGACAATTTTATACATATATACTTCTTATAGTAAATTCGGTCACTCGCACTGCAACGGATTAATGCACATTATAAAGGGTGCTTTATGTAAAGTATCTAATTGCAGTAGCATAATATAATCTACTTTAATACAATGAAATAATACATATATTGTATATTCTGTTGAATAACGTAACAATATCATTATTAGGTATTTAATCCTTTAAAATATTTATATGCTTTTACATTTACCAGGGCTGGGAACGCTACTTCATAGAAATAATGCGCTACCGCTACCATTAATTTTTATAAAAAGTAACGCGTTACCATTACCATTACTTAGCATTACTTTTTCGTTGTTTTTTTTTGTAACGTTTAAGTAAGATAGGTATTGGATTTAAGAATTAAATGATTTAATGATCAATATTAATTGTAACAATCAATTAAAACTTAAATTCTAATAATAAGTTTTTATTGTATATTGCAAGCTTTTTTATTAAACTTTTTAATACATTTTTGATAATTTTTTATATTAATATTTTTAATTTTTAACATATGTTTATCTTTAGAAGATTAGATTATGTTTTACACAGATTTTATAAAAAATTTTAAATATTATTTTTAAACATTATGTCATTATTATAAGTGCATTCCAATATTCATTGCCAATATTGAAAATTTATAATTCACATTATATACGTACTACATATTTTCAGTATTAGCAGTGATTATCAGAATGCAACTTGAAATATAAAGTACAAAACATTTTTCAATACTTAAATTTCTGTTATAAAATATTTCTAGCCAATTAAAAAAAAAATGCGATCTACTAAATAGTTATAAAGATAACAAGGAATTGAAGTAACGATAAAAGTAGCAGTAAAACTCGTTACTGTGAAAATGTAACAACGTTACGGACCGAAAAAAGTGTAACAATCATTACCGAAAAAAAGTAACAAAAGCGGTAATAGCATTACAAATAACTCGTTACTTTCCAACGCTTTGCATTTAACTTTGCTAATTTCATGTTTTAGTATAACAGTTGTTAGTAAGCATTAATCTAGTGTAATACAATTGACTGAATTCGCTATTAATTTCAAGAGAAATATCTCTTTCGAAATTTTGAGAAATTAATGTAAAACATATCATAAATTTGAAAATAAAAGAGAGAGAGAGAGAGAGAAAGAGAGACTTATTTACAATGTAACAGTAAGGAGCAAAGACGACAGAGAAGGTGAAGAAAGGTTAAACGTGAACAACTCATGAATCCATATTAACATTGCAAACGCCCAAATACGCGATGTATGGTCGAGTAATTAATTTCTGATGACGATCGGTCCGATTGACATATCTTTGACCGTGTAACGTACGTCCTGAACAAATTACACGTGTTCGACTGTTACAAAGAATCTATGTTTGAACCGGTATAATTAATGCTGATACGTCGCTGTGAGAGACTGCGGTTTTGGCGATGCGACATTGTTTACTCGGAAACAAGTGCCGAATTGGAAGTACGTTTGCAATAAAACAAATATGGCATACCACGTGCATCGATTTAGGTAATATCAAACGCGAATATTTCGACGATTAATCAATGTTTCTGTATTGTTTGACTAAGCGCTGAAAATTTACCTACTTTGAGATATAACGGTTAAACGCGAAATTGTCAATATTAATTTAATATCTGGCATTCGCCAGTACGAGTGGTACGAAAAATCTTGAAAAAAATAGTAGATAACTATTTTTAGCTGGTAATTCTCCGGATAACTAGAAAATTTTATATAATCGCCGTAACAAGTGAGGGATCTGAAGAGAAATATTTCTTATTTTGATCCATAAATTTTTTTTTAATTAATATTTAATAATTATATAATTGATTTTTTAAGCATGAAACAATTATTCAAATTATTTTTTATTACGCTATAATAAATATATTTTAATATTATACATAATTTAATATTTAAAATTTTGTATAAATTTAATTTATTAAAATATGTAACAATCTTACACTAATACAGATAATTAACTCACAATCAGATTAATACAGATAGTCAACTCGAATAAGTATCCAAAAATATGTTCTTTGTTCGACCACATTTTTTTCAATGATCATTCAATTTTGATATAAAGCGTGTGATATTAGAAAATTTTAAACTTTTTTTCAATTTTTTTGTGTCAGGATTTTCCAGAGATTAAAATATGATATAATAAATTTAAACAAAGCTTCATTACATAAATTATAATTACTATTTGTGCATGTTTCAAAAATGCATCAACGCGAAATCGAGATTCTCGCATCTGAAGACACATGGTAATCTAATTTTAGTATCGGCAAGTTAATGCAGGCTTTAAAAATAAGAATCATTAAAGATTTAGATCATTAAAGATTGTACTTGCAAAATATGATAATGGAGTAAAAAAAAACGTGAAGATTTTTTTATACCTTTCGTTAAAGTTGAAAAATAAAAGAAAATGTGTATAGGTTATATACGTATATATACGTATATTATAAACACAAATAAATAAAAAAATCTTTTACTTATTACTTTAAAAACTATGTATAACATATTTTCAAATGACTTTTCTATTTTATAAATTCAATGTGTGTTTCTTTATGACAAGTTACTCTCATATGCATTAAATACTTTTTTAACAATTGTAATTGTATTAAAATGTCAAACATCGCTACGGTAGAGCGCCCGCTCTTACAATTTATATAGCGTATTAATATAAAAAGAGTGTATCGATATATCTATAATAGTTATATATACCTACAGATTATATACCTACATATACAGAATTAATATTATGTACTAATAAATGATTAATATTAATGTTACAAACTGATTTATTTCCTTTCAAATTAATTTTTTTTTCATTCTGTGTGACGGCGAATTGGGTTCAATCAATGTTAGTTTAATAATTAGTTTAATGCGAAATTCGCGCGGAATGAATTTCTTTATTTATCTGGCCACCATCAAAGTAGAAATCGATATTTTTCGCACCATTATCATGGCTCACGCGGATCCCCGGCTCTGCTTATCACTGCTACGCATCGTCGCGTCATAGACGAAGCGCCCTATCGGATTGGCGCGGCGCGGCGCGGCGTGCGGCAGGCCATATCTGAACGATCATCAGAATTGCCAGCTCGCGTAATTCGCGTAATTGCGGTTCGCGGCTGCAACGAGCGGTACGGCGAATAATTCACGCGCAAACGGGTCAAGTTTTATCCTAGTCGGATCGACCGAATTCTCCCATCGCGTCCTTTGCCGCTCCGCATCGTTCTCGATAATAGACCAGACTCAATTTAATAATTCAATACGGTCACGGGATCCTAATTCTTGGCGAGATTCGACATTAAACAATAACGCTAAGCATTTTTAATAAATCAGCAAAAGCTTAAAATAGTAACTTGTCAAATAGCATAATGAATTTTTTATCTTCGATAGTTAATATGAATTCCGATCATACTGCCTAATCTTTAAATATGTGAAAATTGCTGTAGATCTTTGCATGATTGTTTTAAATGTATGTTGTTTTAAAATTTTAAAACAACATACATCTATATAAATTTTGCAAGTATCATCAAACTAGGTTGACATGAGTTTTTTATAATATCAAGAGTTAGAATTATATTCAGTATTATAAATAAAGAAAAAGAGAGAGAGAGAGAGAGAGAGAGAGAGAGAGAGAGAGATGAAAGCGTTTATTCTCTTTAAAGGATATAAAAAAAGACAAGTAAAAAAATAGTAGAAAAGGAAAACGATAACAAAAATAACACGAAATACTACAACATAAATAAAAAAAATACAAGAATAAAAATGTTTTAAACGAGAGAGAGAAAGAGAGAGAGAGAAGGAAAGAGAGGTTATTTTTAGTTTAGAAATTTACGTCCAAAATTATATTTCAAGAGGGCAAAATATTATTGTTTTGAATTTTATGATGCTTCCGAATAAGCTTGCCGAGAATAGAATGGCTGTTTTTAGATGTAGAGGCCCCGTTTCGAAATAAACCACCTCAACTCTTAAATCTGACCCCGCACTAAACCGAGCCGCGCATCGTAACTTGCCGGTTGGCGCGGCTCTCTCGCGCTTGATTCGTGCGGGCGCGGCGCGGGGTAGCGCGAGAGTAAAACGCAAAGTTATTCCGCCGCCTTGCCAAATAGGCGATCTAAATGCGCTCAACCGACCAGAAGAGGTAATACGTTACCGGTTATTGCCGGCGGCAGCATCTTGCCGAGAGCAACCCTCTCTCGTCCGGACGGTTAGTGCCGCGGAGGGTTGAACGGCGGTAAGAGTACCCTTACTACGGGACTGGTAATGTACGCAGTCAGTCGCGATCTTCGATATCGCATCGATTTCGCGGTTGGGGTACGCGTGTGCGAAATTAACCGTGCGACTTTCGGCACAACCGACTAGAGGAGATTAAGCGGAATGGGAAATCTTTCGGTCGAGAGCGATCACCGTTCCTTCTCGATCGATAAATTGTCCGGAGGTCACGAGAACCGAATTGGCAACGATCTTGAGATTGTTAACCCCTCACGGCATTAAATTCCGTCCGACCGATGAACATCGATGGCATATAACGGCGCTTTCTGCTCGAGAATAGAGTGCACAGTAAAAAAGTTTGTGTATTTGTGTTGGAAACAGTCCACTCACGTTTGTGTTAATAGTTTGTGTTGAATTTTTTAACATATTCGAGTGTCAATTTAACATAATGTGATTATGTTATTTAAAGATTTTTTTGTGAAATTGATATTCAATGTTTCTTAGTGTCAAAATGACACAATTTATGAGTAAGCAAACAAGTAACATAAAAATAATGTGTTTCAAAACGTAAATTTTAAGACAAGTGAATGAAATATGCATTAATTTAACATATTATAAATGTTAATTTTCTGAAATAAAATATGTTCCCACGGTTGTTTACAAACTGTGTCGATGGTATCTTTCTTTGTTAAAGGTGAGAGTCGAGCGCCCCTTTGCAGGGAGAAGGGGAGGTGAGAGTCGAAGGTCAGAATTATCTAAGCTATGTAAAGCAGTTAAAGAATTACTAACTTTAACTGTTAATAACTTTTTAACGAAGGACGAGCAACGGCTAAAACCTGTTGGAGGTTACTCAGGGTCATAACCTTGACAATATATGTCAAGGTCAAGGTCATTGGGGGGGGGTCCCCTAATCGGAACTTTTACCTTATTTTCTTACTAATATTCTTACTAATATTTTATTTAAGAAAAACTTTTTCTATTATAGTATTTGATGACTTCATCTGTTAATACATATAAGATCTTTTTTCTATGAATTTTTTATATTTTTTTAGAACTTTTTAATCATATTGACGATATAATCATATAGTAAATTTGAACAGGACCAACAGGATTAAAAAAATTAAATCAAATATAGAATCAACTGGTTAAAGTAACGGTATTATTGATCGCCGTCGTATTTCGGTATTGTTGCATTTGTCGGGTAAGTTTGACGCTTCCAAAATGAGATTTCGATATCGGTTTTGTTCAACTTCGCATGCTTTTCTATCACATCAGTGAGAATCGTCTCGAACTGAAGCGACAAAGAGTCACCGATTTTTTTCCTTCCCTTCCCCCTCTACTTCTGCGACAGCATACTGGCGAAGTTCGCCAGTCGATACGGGAGAAGTTTGCCGATCGTCGGCGGAAGTCAAAAAGCGTCGCGTTGAAACTCGAACAGAATGGAAGCCGTTTTCCGAACTTTCTGACAAAAACGATTAAGCGTTGTAAACAACGGGTCGATCGCGGCGCGAAGGGGGTGACGCGACGCGACCGCGATGTACCGGCGATGATATTTCTCAGCGCACGGTTCGCTATTTGTCAGGAGATGGATGTTAATAGATACCGCGGCCCCGGCGAGAAATATCGAAACTTGGTAGAAAACTTACAGAGGCGACCGTAAATTCTCAAATAACCGGGAGAAAACTACGCCGCGAACTGCACCCGGCGCGGCGTCCCGCCCTCCACCCACATCTCGAGAATGTCAACGCGCGGAAAATTCTAGCCGTTCTCCAGCGATAACTGGCTCGAGAAGCCAGAAGACGTCGCTGCGTAACTATTAATAAAAACTTCGCAATTGCAATATAAACTTTACGTGTTGCATGACGGAGGAACGTTTATCTTCTTCCGTTGTTTGCTGTCGGTAAGTTAAATGAATCGAATGAGGAAAACGAAGAATATCAAGAAAAGTAATTGAGCATTAAAATTGCTTCATAATCAATAATGCACAAGAGATATTTAGAGATTCTGTTCTTCCATTCGAAATATATTTTTAGATCAAAAGGGTTCGCATGTGCGAGAGGATGCAAGAAATACAAATTTTTAGGAAGCTTTTAATTTTCTTTAATTAAATTGTTATTGGCGAAATAAAGGAAGTCTCGTTACGTCGCAATGTTGGCGCAAAGCACTTTATATGGTCTGGTCACGTTGTCGGTAATGTGGTTTTAAAGCCACATTGTGCGCCGCTGAGATCAGCTACGATTTCTATCGGTCGCGCACATCTGTCGTTTGTAAGGGAAGTATACGTGTATCGGCGATAGTTCACGTCGCACAATAGAGTTAAAACACACGTAACAGTGTGGCATTACAAAAACGTACAACTAAGAACAGCAAGGGCGAATTGCATCGCGGTAGTGACAAGGACAGCGGTAGATGTTTAATTAATTTTCTCACAAAGTGTTCACTAAAACACCAAATTGAGTAGCCGAGTGTGCATTTGTTCTTCGGTACGTTATCTCTTAAGGTACAATCAGCGATTTCGATGGACCATGTAAAAGCCTTTAAAAAGACAACAAGAAAAGTAACATGTTCAAATTTTATCAAAAGCATAAGGCATCGTTAATAAATATTTGAAACGATACAGACAACAAATAGAGAAATATCTTGTCAATTTCTCTGTGTAAATATTTGCCAAGCTCTCTCTCTCTCTCTCTCGTAATTTTGTTTCAATTTTAAATAATTAGTGTTATTATCTTTCTTTTTTTAGTTTCTACATCACGTCAGTCATTTACGAACATACACTTTTCGCCTATAACTTGAAAATAATTCTTGTAATTCTTGCAATTTTTGTAATTTTTGTAATTTGTTACCTTTGTAATACTTGTACTTGTAATTTTAGTAATCTGTAATGCTGTTGCTATGTTCAATTCTTTTGCTACGAATACTTTACCACAAATTCTTTTTGTTACGATCACACCGCTAATTTGTATTAAAACTACATTTTTCTTTTATGTTCTTAGAGAATTTGTCCTAGAACATCAATAAACGCTTTATCTACCTATCTATCTCGTACAATAAAAAGAAATAATACAAGAAAACAGTTTTTAGTATCAACGATGCATGTGTTTCAAAATCAAGCCGATTAAGGTTCGCGATACAGCTGAAACAGAATCAAAACCCACGTTTCGATTTTCCATTCCAAATTTCAGCAATGTTTACGATCAAATTCATATTTATTGGATGCTATTAACAAAAAGAGAATGACATAGCAATCGAACCGTGTAATAAAATTTGTAGGATTTCTCCATAGACTGTATGCACAACTGTATATATACCTAAATTAGTGATTCCTATTTAATTAAATATGAGTGATCCACGAATTAGATAAAAGGTGTAGCTTTCATAATTGTTTCAATTATTGGCAGTGTATTAATAAACGTAATAACGTATTTTATAAATTTACTATCATGTCGAAAAAATCTAACAACAGAAGGTATTTATTTCTTTCATGGATTTGTTTCCGTTCATCATGTAAAAAAATACAATTCCATTTAAAAAGTACAGATGACCTTCACATTGTTTTGGCGCCCCCACCTAGAAGAAAAAAACTTGACCAAAATATGTAATTCCCGTTGAAACCGTTTCACACTTTCATCTGAAATATTTTTTCCTATAAAAATCAGGCGATATATTTCAGATACTCGAGTTAGATGGGACTCTGTACAATACAATAAAATTACAATAAAATTTTGTTCGTCTTAATATTAATAGAACTTTAATTGAGACACAGGTGCAGTAATTTAAATACGAGAGAGAGAGAGAGAGAGAGAGAGATAACTTTTTGCAATAACTTTACGTAAAGTTACATATCGCGATATATCTAAGGCGTTCTGTAACAGTACGAAGTCGTAAGTTAGATTCGTTGAATGCAATACTCCCTCTGCATTTCGCAGTGATGTGCGACAATTCCCGGCAACAATCTCCAAGTCGGGATTCGGTCAGGAAAGTCAGCCTTCAGTTTCATCCGCGGGATGTAGGACGACCTGCGGGAAAATGATGCCCCATAGTGAGAGACAAGAGTGGCAAAGCGAACATCGATCCCCGCTCGCACGGCCGTCTTTGTCGGTGGCCGCGATTCGGCGAGGTTTGCAGCCGCCTGTGCATTCATATTCATATTTCAAAACTCGCACCCTACGGCCCATTGTGCCGCTGAATGCGCTATGCAGAATGCGTCGTCTGCCGTATAACGTTGCGGCGTTGCGACCGTCTCCTGAATTAGTAATGGCACGTTGACAACGGCCTGTTCGCACAGCGAACGACGCTCGACGTCGCGCTCACGAGTCGCGGCTCAGATGCGTATCACGGGAAATGCAATTTGCTCCAGATATTAATTCAGGTAATGGATTGCGTTAACGTATGAGACTAGCCTTGAGCGTCGACATGTATCCATGCATGAATAGATATATCTCATAAAGAAAAATCCATTTGTTTGAGCTCTATGAACCAAGAGGGAATTCACGTTAACCTGTATATATATTTTCATTTAGATGCGTGCGTCCGTGCGTGCGTGCGTGCGTGCGTGTGGGTGGGTGGGTGGGTGGGTGGGTGTGTGAATAATGTAACTATACTTCTAGTTATTTGTCATGGGTTGTCATTTGTCCCCCTCAATTTCTGAATTACAATAAGCACGTTAGAAATTCAAATTTAAAGAATATATACGTATCGCAGTTTATAAATTACATTATATAAAAGGATAATATGCGCAAGGTGGTCCTTAAATATTCTAAAAGATTGTAAATTTGATTCTTCACATTAATTCAAGACGAAAACCACATTACCCTATGAGCCGAAATAGTTTAGTTTCATAGATACAGGTTGTTAAAATTAAAGAAAAAAATTGAATTAAAAAATAATGTACATATAGTTCTAAACCAACGAGCTTTTATATACTGGAAATATATACAAATTTTTATAAAAATAATCAAGTAGTGTTTACAAAATTTTTGGAGAAAACGAAATTTTTCCCTTCAACTTTGACCATACGTATCTTTAAAACTAAGTCGTTCCATATGTTTATACATAAAGTTTTCGTCTTAAACTGATGTCAGAAACCATCCCTTAAAATCTTTTAGATTGATTAAGGACTACTCTGTTGTATGTATAGGTACTATCCACATTTTAATTAATAAATATAAAGTGCCAAAATTTCTTTACTTTTCTACATTGTCATTAAATGTCTATAAAGTATAAGGTCTACAGGGTTCGTGATGCGAAACTCGAAACTTTACCTTAATGATTTTCTAATCGATTCATAAGGTAACAATATCGCGCTCTTGCGAGGTTTCAACACGGCATTCCATATAATCGAGTCATTATTCAT